TCACCTTTTAATAATCGTGTAAAAGTAATGATCACTGACGAACGTTTTTGTGCGAGCGAAAGTCGACGAGCGTCTCTATTCGTCAAGGATAGGACAATTCGCTGGAAAAAGTAGGTATTATCCACAATAGTCCATTTTTTTCTATAAATTGCGTTGAAATTCTCGTAATAGAAGTGTTTAAAAGTCACACGGAGAAGTCGAAGATAGGAGTCATGATCCTAAAATCCTATTTGTTTTATTATAATTTTAATTAAACTATTTTTTAAAGGTGTTTTTTAAATAAGTTGTTTTGACTTAAGTATTTTTTTCACTTAAGCTGATCTTATTTTCCATTATTCGATCGCTCTAACTTTACACTGATAGGATAGATTTCGGTAACTAACCATTGGTCTCTAAAGTTCGATATCTTTTTACTACTCTAACAATTCTTGTACAATTGCGGTGTGTCATGAAGAGCGGGGAAAAAGGGAAGGTTTAAGCAAAAGTTATGAAAGAAAAGCATCAGGAGATACATCTTTGAATTTCCAATATAATTTTGGAATAAATGGTGTTTACGGAGATGCATTTTCGGATGCACTTTTAATACCACACGTAAATACATCTCCAGATTAAATTTTAACATGAAAGAGATATCTCTTCAATTTGGTCTAAAAAAACATTATAAACTTTTTGCGATATTGTGAAAGCATCCATAAGAGTGGAAAAAGCATTTCCTATAGAGAAATGACATTTTGACACCCAAATTTGAGTGTCAAATAGGTGTCAAGTGTACTTTTTAAATGTAATAGTGAATTATTAAAATTCATGTAAATGTATGAAGTAAAAAAATAGGAGATAGAAACATTGATATACGATTGATAAAGTGTCTGATACGGTGATAAATATTGAATGTTCATTAAACACTCCTCTTTCCCTTAATACACCTCTTTCCCTTAATACGTATATAGAGGATTTGAGAGGAAATTATGTTAGAAAATTTATTCATTTATAGTTGTTTTTGTTATTGGGCTTAAGCCCTCCTTAATAAAAACAGTCTTAAAAAGAAAGACATTTTATAATGTAATAATGTAATTAAGAGGATTCTCTTTACATTCCATAAATTTCATGCACTCACTATTATGTTATTTGATCTCACTGGATTTTAGAGTAATCAAGCAAATATGCAAACCCAAACGTTATTCAATGGGATTAAAAATCAGTATGTTATGGCAGATATGTTGAGTTCTCTTGTTCCGTGGTTAGCGGTCTTGTAGTTTTTTTTTCTTCTGGGCGTAAGCCCTCTCTCACCAAAAAAAAAGGCCAATTCTGACTTGCCAGTGAAAAGGGTCGGTCTCATGGGGAACTTGTTACAAATCAGACAGGTATAGTTTGATTTTTCATGAAAAATAAACTCTAATCTTTCCTCAAGGTCATAACAGATACAGCATATAAGAAATCAGTTTTGTTCTAGGTTTACCTTAGAACAAAATTTATTCACATTGGAAAAAAAAACCTGATCGTTAATTAGTTACTGTTATCACACTAAATCTACCTGTCTCCATGACTTGGTAATCCTTTTACTGCAAGTCAGCAACAGCAAGCGAGGAACATCTCTTGCCATTCCTTTTACCTCTTTCTAAGCTTGACAATGTTTGAAAAGAGCCATCAGGTGTAGCCACTTAATCTAACTCCAATAACATGCTCATCAGATTGCACTCCCGATGATAGAACATCTAACCTATGCTAACGTGCATTTCCTCCCCAACAACTTCAAATATCTCATTAACCCTGTGAAATAACACGTGAGAAACAGGATGCATTTTAGACGAATATATCTTACAAGTAATATCATTGCAATTTTACCTGGAAGTGTTTATGTTCACCCCCGCAAGCCCCGTTGTTAAATAAACCTATGACATAAAATGTAATTACTATCAGATAATCTCATAACAGAGGAAATTATAAACTACACGTATAAAGAAAAAAAGACTAAATTTATGTGCATTTTCTTAGGGGGGTTGTATTGGTCTTCACTTAAAATATCCATATTTACCCATGGTTTCCTCAAATCATAACTTTCTCAGAGTTATAACCGTTACAAAAAAATGCATTGTATTGGTCTTCACTTAAAATATCTACATCTACCCATGGTTTCCTCAAATCATAACTTTCTCAGAGTTTGTTATAACCATTACAAAAAAATGCATTTTAATTGAAGATTAAAACGAAACCCAAGGGATTGATCTGGTGGTGAAGGTTTGTTAGCTATGGTTTGTGCTCTTCTCAAGGTATCAAGTTTGAATCTCCCAGGTGGCAATAATTACTATGTTGGGACCCTACTAGTGGATGGTAGGATTGGTCTTTCGGATTAGTCAGTCCATAGACCGGATACCGAGTTTTAAATAAAAAGGTGAAGAGCAGCACGAAAAACACATAAATAAATGCACCCATGTTTTTTGTTAAAAAAATACAATGTCGAATTAGCCAGAGTAATTTGCTGAAGGGTTTGAAAGTAAGGAGTTAATAAACCCCAAAGTACCAAATGTTTACAAAAAAAACTGATTACCAGAGAAAATAGCATAAGATAATTTCCCATTTTAACACAAAATGTTCCATCCATGCAATTTGCAGATGCATGAGAAGGTTCTTCCTCACTTTGAATGGTGGGGACAATTAAGTTATGATTTGGGGGATGAAAAGTAAATTTGGCTTCAGAACACAAACCGATAGCTTCATATCAAACTTAAAATTTTAAACCTCAAGATACTACATAAGCAGGGCATACATAGGGTGTGAAAAAAACCTGTAAAACCTCTGGGTTAGGTCGGCTGTCGAATCTTAAAGTAGCCATGTCAGATTTCCCCTCCCTCAATCTTGGTGGAACTGGTCCACAAGTCACCTCACAAAACAGATTGCAGTCATTCAAATCTTTGAATTCATCAACATAAATCTGAGATGACCAATGCAACTGGTTTACTTGTGAAGCATCATCACCAATGAACATAAATTCAAGAACAAGTAGGCGCTTCCCATGTGAAATATGTTCCCCAGTAACAATTTAAAAAAAAAGTCAGGAATCAACGTAAAATGAAAACAAAAAACAATTGAAAGAAGAGATAAGTTTTGATGCACCATCATGTAAATTTTTTTACACGGTCAAACAATCACAAATCATCCTATGATTCATATGTATGACTTCTAAGATAAATATGATTAAAGTCATATACCTTCAAACACAGTTCCAATCTGAACATCTGAACCAGCTCCTCCACCAATTTCTCTGAGATTTCAAAAGTAGTAAATTTAAGATAACTTATGTGAAAATAATATGTCAGGGAACTCTTGTTAAATATGTTTTTCTGTCATATGGAAAGAAATTTAAGGAAGACAAAAATTTTGTTATCATTCAATATTTCTTTCTGAGATAACTCATGGTGGAACTTCTAATCATGATTCAAGTGTTTTCTAGCTTTCACTTATGCTTTCTCATAATAGTTTCACATTCTACTTCATCTGAGCTAGCAAAAACCTCAATGGGTGTTTAACCATGCATGGTGCATTTAGTAATTGGCAATTCTATCAGAAAGACAAAACAAGTGTGTAGTCCAACTTAGATTGCATTACATTTCTCTGCCCAACTTAATGGGAGGGAGAGGAAGTGAAACACAGTCTCAATGTTTTTATTTCACATTATACACTCTTAATTATGAAGTTGAAAGAAGACGTAAATTGAAAGTTAGCACTGTGGAGATGAGCTTTGGAAGCATGTGACTTCTATTTAAGAGAATAAGGAATGTCAGTTTAGCAGAAGGCATATAAATTCTAACTCGGGAGAGATTTTCCAGTAATCTCTTCATTTACTCGGGGGAAAACTAAGCATTAAGAAGGATTTGGAAACAGTCTATCATTAACAAAGTTCTTGAGAGGACATTATAACATTGTTTGATCAATGTAGTTGACCCTACCCTACCCGATGTTGTATACGGAATCTTCTCCATATATTCAATTTGTAGTACTTTCATAATATTCAAAGTGAAAAAAATATTTCTTTAGATGGATTAAAAGTTTATACAATATATATCTATTCCAAGATAGATCTAATCATTCGTCATTCAATGAAGATATATCCATAAATAAATCAGAAAATTTGAAAACGTATAAAAACTTTACTAGTGGTCTTCAGTTACAAGAACAAATACCTATTATCCATAAATAACTGATGCAAAATTGTTAAATTGTGAGTACTATCATACCATGCGAAGAGATTGAGAAGAATGCAAATACTGGAATTCCACCACCATCTCCACTATCACCAGAGTCACTCTGGTCTATAGAGTAATGAGAAAATTGTAACAGTGAACTATTGTTTGATCTTCTGAAAAAGCACTTCATTGATCTGCTAACATTGACCATTTTACTTACAACGCCCACCTAAAGTCACAGTGAAAATACACGAATATATCCACTCCAGAAATGATTATTAAACTGCAAAGTTCCATTTTTCATTATATGTCTGTTTTTTTTTTTCACCTTCCTTGAACAAAAATGTGGAAATCGTTGGAAATATAATTATATGGCATCTGTAATACTTGTGATTTTTCTGATAAATGAGCAGCGTAAATGATTAGACATGCCAAATTTTGTATGTTTGTTACATTTCTTTGCAAGTACAAATATATCAAGTTGAAATAAAATAAGGATGTAGGCTAGAGCATACCATGTCCTTATAAGACAACAATAATTGGCTCCTCTGAAGTTTCTGGAACAGTCAAAATAAACACATCACTGGATATTAAAACAGTGCCACACATTTTAAGGTTATTCTTGTGGAAAAAAATAAATTTTATTAGAGTCGGTGAATATAATAAATATTTCTATAGAGAGGATAAGAGTTTGTTCTGTTCAAGAAAATGCTATTGATTTTGTTTCCTGATTTTGACAAACAGAATACAGAGTGAAAATAATGCCCAAATTCATATAAGTGTGTTAAGCATGATTTGCAAAAGTACAAGTACAAAAATCAAGCATACCTGCTGGTTGAATAGTTTAAAACAAGCTTTCTTTCTTATACCAGACATATTGCTCAAAACACCCAACTTCATATCAGGCATGTACCTACATCAATTACAAAGCTTAACCACAAGCAACTTACACAGCAAACACAATAAAACACGAAAAGGAACAAGCTCGAGCATGAATTAAGCTTAAATGGAATGTAAAATCAACTCCGTAACAGAACATCAAATTGATAGTATAGAATAGGAATGTAAACTACAACGGATTAATATACCTTTGAGAAAGGTGAGCATTGACGAGAGCTGAAGCGTGAGATCTTGCGGTGGAAGAAATATCGGACCATTGATCCTTGAGCAACGCCAATTGTGACCACTGGTTCCTCAGATTTCGCTGGGCAGCTTGTCTCCACAGTCTGAGCATCGACGATGGAAGTGGAGAAGAGATTTGAGGTTTGGAATGAATTGTTGTTGAAGGAGACGATGGTTCGGAGTCTAGGGTTTCCATTGTTGAGTCCAGCATAGCTGATCGCGTGAGCAAAGATTTTGCAGTTACCTGTGACTGAGAAGGATGGAGCCGTGAGGGATACGGTTGTGCGGCGGCCGGGGTGGTGAAGGAGAGCGACGGCGCGAGGCTGAGTTGGATGGGGCAAAAGGGCGTGTATTTTTTATAGTATATTTTAAAAAGAAAATTAATTTGTACGTTGATATATCACAATTACAAAACAAGGTGGTTTTCTCTAAGAAAATGTCTAGTACCGTCCGGTTTGGAGAACCGGTTTTATGATCGGGATGTGTTTGTTTTATGGTTCAGGATGTGTTTATTTCAAGTTATGAAATTGTATTTTTTGGAATTATTTTTCTGGGGATTATTATTTTTAGGAATAATATTTCTATGTGTTTGGTTAAAAATTAGATTTCTAAGGAATGTTTATGAATTTAATTTAATTAAAAAATTATAAAATTAAAAATAAAATTAAGTGTGAATGTTAGTGGGAAATTGGAGTAAATTGGACTTTATTTTTATGAGAATATTGAGTTCTGATCCTTTAATATTGAAATAACTAATGAAGTAATCATGTGTAAAATGAAATTTTGCGAATAAAAAATATCTAGGAATAACTTTTATAAACTTAAAACAAAGTATGATTAGTGCATTTCAAATATAATATTTCTAGGAATATTATTTTGTAATTTGAAATAAACACACTATTATTAACGGCTACACTCTGTTCTGTTTCGAGTCGGTTTTTATTAATATTGAAATATGTGATACAGTGGGAGAACTGACTTGGGTGTTTTGCGTTTGATCGTAAATATTATGGTTTAGCAAGAGTCGCTACTGACTTTTCTTTTATCTAAAAGGAAATGTGAAAAAACACAAGAAAGACCTTTGAGATTATTTCTTGAGTTCGGGGGGTAGATTATGAAAAGGGAAGATATTAGCATCCTTTTCATCCATGATTTTCCATGGGCTCTTAGTTACTTGCTAGATCACTTACTTTTGTTTGAAAATGTGTTTTGTGTGGTTTTTAAAAGTATTTTGTAAAGAGGCGTTTGTCTAGGCAAACTTTTGTAACGATTCGCGTTCGTAAGAATGTATACAAAGGTGATCTTTTGAAAATGTTTTCAAGTTTGAAAGGTGTTTTGAAAGTGTAGGTGTTTGTTTTGAAAGTAGCAAGGATGTTTTGTTTTGAAATTGAGCAAGTAACTAGGAACATTCTACCTACTCAAAAGTCTTTCATGTTCATTTTCTTTTTCCTTTGACATTGTTATCTTACCATTGATTTGGTAAGTAACTCTATCTTTGGATGTAAAAGGGACGGGCGTGGGTCATCGTATAACCATGATTAGCAATGTTACAAGGTATCTTAGCATTTTTCTTTAGGGACTAAGATCATTTTGAAGAGACAACATAGATAGCGTCATCGAGAGACTATGATCTTGTATTTTTGCTTGTCTTTGCTAAGATACCACACATGCGTAATATGATCATTTTTTGTAAGGCAACCAAGTGGATTTACCCTAGGGGTTCTTGTGTGCAAGTGTATTGGTTTTCATGCTTTGTTTTTGTGCTTTTTCCATACAAAACCCTAATTACTAGCATTTGTATATAAAGCGATAAATTGCGGAATTTAAAATTACTACGCTATTACATCATTAGGGGAGAGAGTATACAAATTTACAAATAGGAATTTGCAAGAAAATTAAACCTAATTATCTATTACAACCATATTGAATAATATACAAGAATTAAATAAATAATGTACAATGATATAAATAAATTTAAAAAAAAAAAAGAAATGATTTTTGTTTGGTTTTTGTTAAGGGTTTTAACCTAACTAAAGAGAATGATTAATTAAAATTTAAATAAAACTTAAACCTAAATTAATTAGGAAAGAAATTAAATTAAAAAATGTTTTTTAGGATTTTTATGAAAAAGGTTTTAAGTTAAATAATGATAAATAATGAAAATTAAATAATTAAAAGAAACCTGAATTCTAAGTTAATTTTAATTAAGAAAAATAAAATAATTATTAAACCTAAGTCTAAATGTTTAATTATTTAAAAGAGAAGTTAATTTGTTAAAAGAAAAATATGTTTTAGTCCATTTTTGTTTTATAAGAAAATAAAATAAATAAGTGTAAATAGTAAATAAAATATTTTTTTGGATTTTTCATGCTTAATGAAAATAATAATAATAAATAATAATAATAATAATAATATTAATAATAAATAAATAAAAGATAAGAAAGTAAAAAAAAAAATTTAAAAATAAAAATAAGTCAGGAGGGTTGATAAGTGAAACAGTAGGTATTGTGAGAAGAAAAAAAAGAGTCGGGCCCAAAGGATGGTCCAGGCGCTCAAAAAAACACAAAAATGTCAAAAAAGTGGGGAAAAAATGGGAAAAAAAAGGTCACGCTGGGGCTTGAACCCAGGACCTCATAGTGACAAGCGCGCGCTTTAACCACTGGAGTGGTGATACATCCATTAACTTGTATGAAATGATAAATATATAACATAAAATGTGCCCTGACTATACTTCATCTTCAACCTCCAGCCAAAGGATATGTAACTTGCTCATTTCTCAACAAAAATGAAAGATGCAAACATGAAAGTTGTTCCATTTTTCCACACGAATCCAACCATATAAATATCATAATCTATAAATCAAAGATGAATGAGAATTTCTAAAAGTACCAAATTCAGACCTAAATATTTCAGAAAATTCAAACTCAAAATTCTCCTAGCTCAATCGAAATAAATGAAATCTATGGACATGTATAGTTTCAGGGCAATGATGTCTACATTTTATCTTCACAAATGTAAGCCTAACAATGCCTAAATATGAAGATAGAAGTTCAAGAAAAATACCTCAAAATTGGAAATCGTGAAATGCAAATGAGCTTGATTCAAGGTGTTGTAATGATCAGGTTAGCTTCCTCAAGTTCTCAGGAAGCTAATGCAATGGTTTGCTTGAGCAATGGATGGCTAGAATGGTCTGGAGATGTCAAGTTGCAGACCTCTGTTTTTGGTTATGGAGGATGATGAAGATGAAGTTACAATTATGAAACAGGGCCAGGGATGGTTTGCATTTGATATAAGGAAGCTTTAGGAATGAATTTGAGGGAAAACGCACGAGGGAAATGAGAGATACAAGTTTAAGGTCAGAATTTTGTATCAATGGAGTTTTTTATGCAATTTCTGGCTAGAGGGAGTTTGGGAGTATTTCAGGGTGATTTCTCTCGTGCCTTAGCTCACAAATAGTGACTCTATTTATAAGCAACAAGTTTGGAGACTTGTTGTTGATCAGAATTCAAAATCACAAGTTTATGCATAACATGTGATTTTTGAGAAACTCAAGTTTCAAAGCCTTGTGTACTTGCTAAGATAGAGTGGTTATGATTTAAACATACTTGCTTCTGACTTTCTGGATGGAGTGTGATCAGAGGGAACAAGTTAGAGGCTCAAGAATGGACTTTATGCAAAAAACTTGCTTTACAAGAATGGCAATGTCAAATTTGTGCCATTAATAGATATGCAACTTGGATAATAGCTCAATTGCTTGGATCAAAGCTCTAACAGATGTGTAAACATTTAATTATGGAGTGACAAACAAGCTTGAGGCATGCAAATCAAATATTATGCATCCTAGCATGGATTTGGTTCATGTGTTCATCAAAAAATGACTTGTAATTCAAGTTTGAAAACCCTAACTTCCTCTCTTCGATTCTCTCTGCTCAAGAATGATCTCAAGGAGTTCTTGGAAATTTTGGAAAGCTTGTAAAGTTATATACAAACCCTCTTTGAATCACTTTTGAAAATTCTCCTTAGAACTATATGAAAAAAGTGTCATGAAGTTAGGTCAAAATCCTGCCTAAATTAGGGCAAAATTTCACTAAGTGTTTAATTTCAAGACCATGACTTTATGAATTAATAACTTGAGATCCAAGCACTTTTAGAAGAAGTTGTGTAAAGAAATGTTGTATATCTCATTGAGATCTACATATTTCATTTTGAAAGTTTCTTTTGAATCATCTTGCATCATGGTGAAAAATTTGCTCAAAGTTGTGAAAAAACATGAAATTTTAAACACTTAGAAAAATTTCTGTTAGAAAACTTTGACTTTTCAAAATGAAATATTGAATTTTTGATTTCTTGATGAATAAGTTTCATAGTTTGACATGTTTTAATGAATTGTGATCTTTGACACTTGATCTTGACCAAAAAGTCAAAGTTTGACTTTTCAATGTACAATTGACTTTTGATCAGTTGACTGAAAATTCACTATCAGTCCAATTGATCTTGAGCAATGTTTTGGGTCATGCCATTTGGTAAAAATGATGTAATTGAACTCTTGAGATCATGTCTCAAACCAATTAACCATTTGCTAGGTCAAAAATCAGAAATTGCCCTTTCTCAGTCAAAACCCTAATTTTGACCATTTTGCCCTTTTGATGATTTGATCAAATTTCTTGAGGAATTGAAATTCTGGTGTATGCCAGTCTTCAGATGTTATACTCAATGTCTAGACATCTAATATGAAATAATACATACACTGCAAGGTAGATACCCAATTTTTGTGATTCAATATAACAGAAGCATAGAGGTTGCCATATCTGCAGTTCTCGAACAAATAGCTTTGGTTTGTAAACTATCCATTCATAGCCTGATGTCTCAACATTGGTTGCAACATCATCTATCACATACCATGAAGCAAACAAACCCCTTAGTTCTGTTTATCATGCACACAAACCAGCAGGATATCCATTCATCTCTTTTGACATCATCTGTAACATTCACACAGTTTTATTCAAGCTGTACCAGATACACTTTGAAGGTGCAGAGGACAGATCACACGATGTACCTAGTTCTGTCCATGATCAACAGAGAGCAAGCAACCTTCACAGTTCTGTTTCTCCTGCACAGATATCAGCATGATGTCTTAACATGTTCTGAGACATCATCTGTTTCAACATTACAGTTTTACCTTGTTGTATAACAGAC